ATGAGAGAAGTCTTGCAGTCAGAGAAGAACAACACCATCTTTACCGAGGACCTGAAGAATGCGGCACACTTAGCGGAGGCCAACACCAATGACATTGAACTGGTCCTTGAAATGGCTAAAAAGTACTGTGGTTTTGGTTATGTTTGAGAAGTAGAATTTTATGCTTTTTGGGATGGTATAGTTTTTTTCTTTTTTTTTTTTTTTTTTCTTTTTCTTTTTCTGTTTCTTTCTTTTTTTTTTTTTTCTTTTCTTTTCTTTTTTTTTTCTTTTTCTTTTCTTTTTTCTTTCTTTTTTGCTTTGCTTTCTTTCAATTTCTTTTCTTTTATTTTATTTTTTTCTCTCCTTTTTTTTTTTCCTTTTTTTTTTTTTTCTTTTTTCTTCCTCTTCTTGTGTCTTTGGCAGAGGAGAGGCATGGAGGAAGGACATAGGTAAATGTTTAAGTCACAAGTTTATTGAAAGGGCCTAATGAAACACTGTGAATGCCATTTTTTAGAAATTGTTGTTCCTTTAGTTTTAGTTTTCTTTCCTTTCTGCCTTTCTCTTCTCTTTCTCTTTCTCTTTCTCTTTCTCTTTCTCTTTCTTATTTCTCTTTCTCTTTCTCTTTTTCTCTTTTCTCTTTCTCTTTCTCTTTTCTCTCTTTCTCTCTTTACTCTTTCTTTCTCTTTCTCTCTCTTTCTCTTTCTCTTTCTCTTTCTCTTTCTCTTTCTCTCTCTCTCTCTCTCTCTCTCTCTCTCTCTCTTCTCTCTCTCTCTCTCTCTCTCTCTCTCTCTCTCTCTCTCTCTCTCTCTCTCTCTCTCTCTCTCTCTCTCTCTCTCTCTTTCTCCTCTTTCTCTCACTGTGTGTGTGTGTGTGTTGTTTGTTTGTTTGTTTGTTTGTTTGTTTGCTTGTTTGTGTGTGTGTGTGTGTGTGTGTGTGTGTGTGTGTGTTGTGTGTGTGCTGTGTGTGTGTGTGTGTGTGTGTGTGTGTGTGTGTGTGTGTGTGTGTGTTGTGTGTGTGTGTTAATACTGTTTGATTTCAGGAAGCATACATTTTTTTTACTCAAAAGTAAAAAGGACTATGATCAATACATGTCTCAGAAATAAATAATGAATTGCTCAGTACCATGAATACACTTAGTAACACCTGCCCTCCTTTCAGATTTAACAAACAAAACAGCGGTCTACGTTTTGGAACCTTTGTGTTTGGGCCAGTGGTGATGAGGATGCTGCATCACTTAGACTGCCCCGATGTAGCAATTCAGGTAAGTGTGACGAAATTTTATTATCTTTTTTCCTATTTTTGCGGTATAGGACCGTCAGATGAAGCTGCTTCCTGTGCACTTTGTTGCCTGACCAACAAACCTCAGCTGCCTATCTTCAAGAAACTAGAGCTTGGACTGGTAAATTGTAAGAGAGATTTCCAAGCTCCATCTTGCTTGATTATATGTGGTGGGGGTTTGCAAGTGTAAAATGCAGAAGTCGTAACGTCCCTGAACTTTGAGGAATAATGCGGGCTGATATTTCATGCTGATTATTCTTAAGTAATAGTATTTTTTATTTCTTCATTTTTTTTTGTGTTTGCTCATGCTCAGTCTATTTTGGAGGATTACCTTTTAATTTTTTCCTTTTTTTTCCACTCAATTGTCATAACTTATTGATATTTCTTTGACTTTGTTTCCTTGTGGCCACTGAAGCAAATTCAAGGAAATAACAGTAGAATGTTATATTTTCCCTTTTTTTTTCTTCCATTTTTTATACTTTGTTAGAATCTGTTTCTTTTTCTTGAATATGTAACCATATTAATAAAAGGGAGATAGAGAAAAAACACACAAAACACAAAGAATATTTACTCTTTGTTTCAGACTGTTATTAAAGATAAGAATTAGATCAGATTTAGGCAATTAACTTTTACTCCATATCAGCTGCCACTACACTGTACTGCACTAAATACTTAGTAATTAAGTTAGAAAACTTGGTAGAGATGAATATGTAAAAAGTTGTAACTGGAGTTATTGCCTGTTCATATCTGTGTTTGTGAGGTAGTATAATTGATAGTTAACACTTAAAGCTAATGTTTGTCATGTCTCACTACCCCATAAAACCTGAAATGACACTATATTGATAGTTTACTCCATATTGCTAATTGTTGCATTATATGGTTTAGATAGAGATTCATATCTAATCAAATTTTGTTTAAAAGCTTTTCAATGGCAACATTGCAGGAAAAGGGGCACTCAAAAAATGTGGAGATAGTTACATTAAGAAATCATCTAGTTTTCAATTTCTTCTGCATCTACTGTGAAAGGTCTTGGAATTTTGGGGTCATTATGTCTCAGTGCAGTGTCTTTCCAAACAAGAATTTGAGTTGTAGATGATACGGATAACCTGTCAAGAGTAACATATTTTCATGGTCCTGACTTTTGAGGGGTAGATGTTTCTTTGATTATATTTATCTAATTTTTGAACGACATCTATTCTTTTTCTTCTTCTTCTTTGTCTTTTTTTTTTTAATATTTCTTTTTTATTTCAGGCACTGAAATCAGAAGAACTGGATGGCTTCTTTGATCAGTTAGCATCTTACCAATTAGCATTGGATTTATTGTATGAGAAAGAGAGGTACGAAGATGTCATTGATGTTTTTAGAGATCTCCAGAATAAGCGACTGCAAGGAACCAAATTCCCCAAAAATTGCTTCATGATCGCCATTGCAGCTTGCTATAAGATGGTAGGATGTTGTGCTGGCAAAGAAAGGTTGGAGGTGTTTGTGTTGCAAAGTTATTTGCCTTTATTTTATGCGTTCGTTCTGTGTGTGTGCTTGTATAATGCCTTTGATGGATTTATAAAGTTTTCTAATGAATAGGAAGGAATATAAGGGTGTTGATTATCTATGAAGATTTGAGTATTAACTAAAAAGTCAATACCTCTGTGATTTGTTGATGACGTAGATGTTCATTTTTATTCATGGTGAACTTTTTAATAAAAATAAAAGGCACATGTAAAACTTTTCCCACACTCCTGCAGAACAGTGAGGAAAGTTTAAGAACAGTATTGGAATTTGTGAAGGAGGCCGAGGAGTCTGGCATTTCCATCAACCGCCGATGTCTCATCTTCGTAGCAGCACTGGCCCAAAGGCAAAATCATCCTCACATTACCCTTGAATACCTGGCCAAAGCACGGAACGTCTCCCACATTGCTCTTCGTAATCTGCGAGTAAGTGTCAGCATTGATGGAACCATGCTGAGATAAAAAAGATTCCCAGAACATCAAAGACTTTTGAATGATTAACATAATCAAGAAATTAGGGTGGCAAAGATGTGCTCAAATTTTATTTTTCTTCATAATTCAGTTCTTAGTTAATGTCATAGTCTAGTATTTGGCAACTCCAAGATTTTGGTGCTTCTGCCATGATATTTTCTTGAAATGAGGTATCATGCAGATATAATTATATATATATATGAAAAACTTACCTTGCCGTACCACTTTTTCCTTTTGAAAAGGATTTTTCTTCCCCCTCCCCCCCTTAAAATACATGGATTTTTTCTGGTATACACCACATTTATTCCCCCCCCCAAAAAAAAAAAAAAAATCTTTTCCCCGAGATGCACCAGTTCATTTTTCTTATTGTCAGATTCTGGCCCTGGTGGAGACATCTCGCTTAGAAGAAGCCCTTCCCATCTTGCGGGCTGTTGTGCAGATTGATATCCCAGACAATAGCCGGCCTGGAAAGAAATCCTACGTACTCAGGGAAACGGTACAGAATTTTTTTTTTGTATTATATAGATTTATATACATTAAGCAATGAAGGCTTTGGACTTAATAAAATATTGGGATAATAGGAATGTGGGCTACTTTTCTATGAAAAGGTAAGTCCAAAGTTGATATTTAGCCTCTAAAGTCCATTTCTGCTTTTGATGTTTGATTTGAAAAAAGGCATGAATCTCAGTTAAAATAGATTCTAAGGCATCAGGGGAATTCTTAAAGTCTCAAGGGAGTATCAGTGCTTTCAAGTGATTGAGGAGCAATCCAAAAGATATGATGCTGTAGAAATAATAAATGGGAATTGGATAGTTTAAGGCTTCAGAATATTTTCTCTTTCAGCATGTACAAAGTTGCTGACACTGACACAGATAAGAAAAGAGGGATGTTTCAGTCAGAAACTCTGGGATATGATATATATGATAGTTAATAATGTGAGGACATGTTCTTTAAGAGCCATCATGTTTTCCACTCCCATCATCAATTGTACAGATCCCTTATCAAAAGTATTAGTACCTGAATTTAGTGTGATCATCACTGATATTCAGCAAATTTTATCATGGCTCTACCAGTATATTTCCCAGGAGCATAAACAGTTTTAAAAAAGATGTGATAATTGCTTTTGTTTTATTTAGGATGTCTTATGATGTGAGGTGCTCACTTTGTCAGTTCTTTGCAAAAAGGCTAAACAGTGCCAATATTGTTCAGTCAAAAAAAACATTTTCTTCATGATAAAACTGTTTACAGTGCAAACTGCAGAGAAATAGCATTGATTTTGTATATTTAACCCAAAATGATAATAGGATAACAACCTCCCATACCATTGCTCACTGTTGTCATGGGGGGCTTAGGAGATGGAGACTGATACCCAGGTAGGGGATTACCCTTACCTTGGGTCTCAGCCCTGCCCTCTACTAATTTTTTCTTCTCCCCCTTTCCTTTTCCTTTTCTCCTTCATATCCTTTTACTGTTCACTTCCCAAGGTGTGAGATTCCTTCTAAAAGGATGAAAAACTGGCTTTGTGTCAGTCATGAACAGCCTCCGGTAGCCATGGGCACAGTGTGCCCTTGTTTAATCACCTTGCCCTTACTCCTTATGGGGTCCCTGAGGGGTGGACCATTTCTTTTCCCCACTTATTTCAGGCTCACCATGGTCAATAATGAAGATTTCTTTTATCCTTATTAGGGGCATTAAGGCTTGACCTTTCATCAACTAGCCTACCTAAATTTAATTTTTTTGATTTCACTGGTTTTCCGACCCCCACCTCTATTTTGACCATGGCTCCAACCACAGATACTAATACTCCCACCTTGATGTTTTCTGACAACCTTGTCAATTTTGAACCACTCACCCTGGTTGTTATTCAGCCTTCAGAATATACCCCTTCCTCATTATCTACCCTCCCCCCCTCATTACTACTCATCCTTATTGTCCTCCACACCACAGTACTACCTCACTCCACTCCACCCCATCCGTCTCCCACCCTTGTCCTTCTACTGCTTGCACCTCAGAAAACCTTTTGTGTATTCTCTGTGGCTCAGCCAAGTGGGATCAATTCTTTGTGATTCCCTCTATAGATCCTTACTCTGACAATACCCTTCTTTTCCAAAATTGTCTCCAAAAACAAGTAGGCAAAGTTTCATTTTTCAGTTGCTCAGATTGCTCATGCCTTGTCACAGTTACATCTGAAACCCAAGCTCTTGCACTATACACCTTGACTGACATCACTGTTAAGTCTATTCCTGCCATATCTCACTCCTCTTTTAGTTCTTGTATTGGAACTGTTTCCATCTCCCCTACTGATTGCCTTATCTATGACAAGAACTGGTCAAACTGTGAAAATGACCTACTTACCTGCCTTGTTGACTATGATGCAATGACAGTACAGTGCTATACTATTCCTCCCAGAGGCCAATGAAAATCTTACACCATTATTGCGAAATTTAGCTTCTGTAGGCATGACCTTCCTCATGAAATTTATATTGATGGAGTATCCTGCCCAGTCTGACCATATCAACCCCTTCCTTGTTATTGTCACTCTTGCTGTCTTCTATGTGCCCAGCCTGGTTATGACAATTCAAATTACCCTGCTCAGTCATATACGTATACCAATTGTGGTGGCTCCCATAATGTATTTTGGAACTGCCCTGTCTATATGCTTGAATCTGAGGTAGCAGTTCTCATATTCAAACTAGACATCATTCTACTTGAGGCCAGACAGGTAACATGCTGACAGAGTTTTCTCTCTCTACTTACTCCAAAATTGTCCTTTGCTCTGCTCCTCTTTTATCTTCTCAAGATGTCTCAGCATCTCCCCCAGTATCTCTTCCCTCTACCCTGAACCATCCTACCTCTACTCCCCCTCTCCCCCAGTCAAATTCTTTTTCCAGTCTAAATCCAGATGCTCCAATCTCTACCACATCTCCTTCTCACTTTAACTGTCCCACCAAACAACCTAAATGTTCCACTCCATCTTTGCCTACCACATCCTCTCCTACATCCTCCTCTTCCTCTGCTCCTTGAACATCTATCCCTCTTCTCACCTCATAAGAGATCCTTTGTTTCTCAGACCTCCCACCCAACTCCCTCTAGAAACTGTGGAAGACACCTAAAAATTCATATGCATGACCGAAGAAAAAGCTCCGCTACCTTATCCACCCTTTAATCCTTCTCTTCCAAATGCCTCTACATTCAAAGTATTTATCGATATCCATCCTCCTCCTCCTCAAGTTCCCCCCTACCTCTCTTCCTCCTAGCCTCTCCCAACGCATCTCAGTCTTTCCTTCTCCATCTGCACCATCTTTTAATTTATTTTTACACAAATTCGTTTCCCACTATTGTTACTGCTCACACCTTGGATGCTCACATGAATCCCTTGTCACAATAGTGTCCTTCTCAACACCCCTCCCCTCCTGACATTCTTCCTGATACTTCACCACTTTTCCCAATCTTATATCATTCCCCTTATTCTTTTCCTTCTACTTCTCCAACAACCATCTCTACCTGTATTACCTGTTGATTGTTTCATAATGGCACTTTTGCCAGTTTTCCTTATACAATGTTCCTATTCCTTCCCCTGCCACAAATGCACTCCAGATCATCCAGTTGCCCTATGCCCTTAACCCTTTCCTCATTTACTAATCTATGCTTTACTTCCTTTGCTCCTCCTTGTTACCCTTCTCACTAACATACTATCCTGTAACGCTCAATAACCTGTAACATCTAACACACATGTCCTAATCATTAAATCATTTTTATCTTTTTCGCCATAGTATTCTACCTTAGTGCTATGTGACCTTTGATGTCTAGCACATTTTATTTGTTTCAACCATTAACCATTAGTCCTGCTTATCTAACCTGTTTACCCTATCCTTTGATTTTTGGAAATATTGTTTTTTTCATATTGCTCTTAGTATTGTTAATAAGAGTAGTTATAATAATAACAGTATTTTTAGTATTAACATCCAGAGAACTCAAGGAAAGGGGAAATCTGGTAAGATCATTCAGGCTACAAATTGGCTTCTTAGCAGCTGAGCATTTGTGTGGAGCCATCAGTGCGTAAACACAAATCACACAACAAAACTACAGGAGCATTACATGTTCCTGGAGGCATTGGATTAAGAGACTAATGGTCATTAACAAAGCAAATTGTATTGAGCTTACTTTCTGTTTTGAAATTCTTCTCTTGGAATAAGCTCAAATGCACCAAATTCAAGTCTAATTATGTAAGCCATTAACTAGATAACGGTAATGGCACTTAGTTTTGGTGCACAGTGAGTCATATTTAATAATCATATAAACTTGTATATGTGCTCTAGACAATTTTTCATGCATTATTCATGATACCTGGAAGTACTGTGTAAACTGATTGTTTGTTTGCCATATATGTCCTTATTGAGTTTAGGTTATTGTCTTAACACTTAGATGGCTCCACAAGTATTTGGTCACCAATGATTTAATTACTAGTACTACCTATTTCACCTTTTCACTCTTTCCATAATTTTCAGAAAATTTTCTTTTATCTTATATTGCTATTAGAAATTTTGATATCATTATAATGATTATAATGTCTATGATAATGATAACAGCATTCCTATTAATAGCATTATCAAAAACAGTATTTTTTCCAAAAACTCAATGGAAGGTGATATCAGGTGAGGTTACAAAGTCTACTTATTGCCCCGACGAAGCAATAGCGAAAAGGCCATTGCTATATTCATGTGTTTTCTTGTTTTTCCCTTCATTGTTCCAGTTGCAGCTTGGTGACTGAGCACTCCTGGAGCCATCTATGTGTAGATACAGTTCACAAAATACTATAGTGAACACCATCTTCCGAGGGGTATTGAGTTAGCAGATTGGTTAAATCATGAATTGCCCCTTAGTAAGACTGATCACTGATGTCCTAGGTGGCATTAGGTATCAGTTTAACCCAGTGTCGACGGGAAAATGGTGTGTTCCCTTTGGCAATGCTTGGTTAAATGTTTCTGTGCATAGATGGCTCTGCCAATGCTTAGCCACAAAGGTCAATTAGTAGATCTTGCAACCTCACTTTTCCTTGAAAAAATGGGAAAATGCTTTTTTTTCTACTAATGCTATCAATATTGACACTGCTATTTTTGTTTAAACATTATATTTACTATATTGTTACTGACATTACTAACAGCAGTATTAAATATTAGAAAATATAAAAAATAAAGGGAAAAGGTAAATAGGTGAGACATATTTCGCGTAATTGACTCATTGGTGACTTAGTACCTGTGGAGCCATCTATATGTAAAAACAATTACAAAATTCAACATACACAATGGGCAATGGCATGTACGTACATGCCATGCCTGGTGGCTTGGGGTTAAGTTCATGTGCCTCTGCAGTAAAAGCACACCTACCCTTTTAACAACTTGATTTGAATTTCCACAAAGTACCAAAATCATATATATTTTTTTTCTATATTGGATATTGTTTGGTATTTGTCATGCATGTTTTATGTCCATCATCATTTGTTCTGGAGGTATTGCATAGAATAGAATTATAAAGTTTTCTGTAATATTCACTTATGTTTTGGCCACAACAGCTGCAATAAAAATTAATCTACAGTAATTTCAGCTACTATATACACTACAAATTTAAGTTCTTTGAAATTAAACTATTTTTCAAAAGTAAACAAATTGTGTGTAAGTATATACAACTATAATAACTTCTTTTATTACAGGTTGAAGCTGTAGAAGCAGCAGTGCAGAAAACCAATGATAAAGAACTTATAGCAGAATTTAAACACCTACACAGAAGTTTAGAGGAAAACCGTCATATAACAGAAAATGTAAGACAAAGTGATAAACAATCAGACATTTTTGTTAATATTGATGTATGTGTATTTTCAGGAAGAGCATTATGAATAATATAACTTGCTTATATGAAAAAGTAAGGAATGGTTTCAACAATGCCACAGTATAACATCTTTTCAACAGTGAATAGATATTCATTAGAAAAAGTTGAGCATACTAAATTTAAAAGAAAGCCAATTCTTACAAGTAACTAAATGCAAGTACAAACTGGGCCTTACTAATACATCCCTATTTTATCCAACAGAGCCTAGACAAATATGTCACTGAACCCATTGATATCTATAAATCAAATGAGAACAAACAGGACAAGGCGATGCTTGCAGCTTCCTTCAACAGAAATAGCAAGAACAAGAGACGCCCACAGAAGTATGCTCAGAATAGAAAAGGGCTTTTGGAGAGAGAATGAAAATTCCTGAATACATTACGAGTGACAAATATTTGGACAGTTTGTAAAAAGGAGTGCTTCTTGTGAAAATTTATTGTATACTTTAGACAATATACAACACTGACAGTCCACATGTCTCTGGTTAAACATCTGTATGATTAAATGGTGAGGAAAGTTTGAACGAGAAATAATAGTGAAAACAATTTACTAATTTGATGTATTGTCAGTGAAACAAGATATTAAATTGGTTCACTGTGGCAGGATTTGTTCATTCTTATAACCTTTTCGGATCTTATCATTTTTCACTGTGGAAAATAATGTAAATAATGTAGTATATTGTAATATTCTTATTGTTAAGTGTTAATACGATTCTAAAATTTCAATAAAGAATGAAAGGTCCCCTCTGTTTGACTTAAGTAATGAAGATACTAATATATTTGCTTTTACACCAAAAAGACTATTTGAAAAATTTACAAGAACATAGTAACTAATCATATATTTATTTTCCTCTAACAATCATGTAAGCCTCTTCCTTTAACCAATTTTTATCACTAATACTTTTGGAAAGCTACTTTCTGAATATGTATTTAGAATCATCAACTACATCCCCGGCTAGATGTAGAGTAATGTACAAATCCCTCTCCATGTGGCTTAAGAGTAGGCTGCCTGTGCGAGTTTTCACTTGTGACCATGGGAAAACAAGTAGTGCCCATGTAGGAGCTTGAGCTAGTTTTGACAGACAGTGACCAGTAGTGTAACATCACTGCCAAAGATTACATGAAATATGAACACAAGGTATTATTCTCAGTTGACTTTTGACCAAAGTATCAAAACATGTCAATCCTGTTCATCAGATCACTTTAGACCATATTCAAGATCCTTCCTGCATGTGACTAGATTATGGAAAATATTTTGGGGCTCACAAAACAGCGAACAGTACCTTCTCCATTTAAGATGCTCACGTAGCCTGAAGCTCTGTCCAGACAAAGGGGCCTGACCAACAGGCTCATGGACAAGCAAACTTAAATTGTCCAAGCAGCTGGTGAGAAATTGCCAGATGTGCCCAAAAGCTCAAGCTTCCACCTGTCAGACTAAGTTAAGTGTATCCATTGCAGGGTTTTTCTCTCTACATCATTGTAACACTTCACATTAGTAACTCTTGGAAAAAATCTTAACCAATATAGGAATTACTTCAAAATTTTCTGTCGTAGCAACATCTACAGTCCTTAGTGGCATATTAAAATACAGCAATGGCATGGGGCTTTGGGGTATAGCCCCCAGATAAGGAAGTTTTTGGTTCATAGTGCAATGTGTGTGTATTCCTAGAATAGTTAATGGTCAAAATAAATGTCAGACAAGGTCATACAACATTGTGATAAAGTATAGTGGTGAAAGGATTAAAAATGAGGTAAGGGTTAAGACCCCATCCACACTGGCAAAGGCTGCCAGGCATTTACAATGTGTCCTTGCATTAGGTAGGCAGTCAGAACTAGGGCTGACCGCTTTTCTGCCAATTTCTAAACAGATATAGAAAGATAAATAAAATTGAATCATAAGCTCATAAATGGATGAACATTGGATAAATATTGTAAGTGCATTGGGTCAGATTCCGATTATAGGATTCGGTGATACTTGTGTTCATTGCACTGCATAAAACGAAACAATGAATACATTAATAAACTAATGTAACAAAACGCACCCGCACCTCTTAATAGAAAGTGTATTAATTTCTCCAAAACTTGTACGACTTCATAGCAAGCGTTGCAGGGCTGAAGGGTTTAAGTCGCTATGGGACTTGCTTTGCCTTTGATGATGCACAGCTGAAGTGACATAGGATGAAATATCTGCCGTGATATTTTCGGTTTGCCACATCAGTTCATACGAGGATGGTTTCAGCAATTTGTTGAAAATTTATTTGAACATGGAAAAATTCTAATATTGCTTTAAATATTTTCCTTTGCATCATGCCATCTGTAGTCCTAAAAATAAGAATACAGCCCAGAGAAAAAAAATTACATAGTGACGTCACCATCCATCGGTTGTCTCCAGCCTTAGAGCCAGGCAGTGACAAACAGGATCGAGTGCTGTACAACATGGATCACAGGACAAGAAAATTGTACCGTGTATTGTAGCAATATCTGACGATTGATGGTGGGGCACGAAAACCAACAGCTCATGGGTACTACCGCACGGCGTCAGTTCATGCGTATGGCAGCAACTTTAAGAACCACCACCCAACAGGCAAACCGTTGATACTTCACAAAACAATTGGGGCACCCTTGAAAATCTTTGCTCACCATTTCTCCGTTTTTGACATCACACTGAGCAAAGTCTGCACCGTAGGTTCATATATGGTTATGAACAGGGTAAGAGGGAAGAACAAATGGAGTACTTAGGCCATTTAGGACAGTCAGGCTTTCATCCTTTCAACATGGCTCTCACTTTCAGATGTGGGCAGAAGGGGATGAAGAGAAGGAAAAGGAATGGAGGAGAAGAAAACACCATGCAAAACTAGTTGATGCAAGGGCTTAGGTCCAAGGTAGGGGTGATACCTACCTTTGACCTCGTTTCTCCAAAATTCAATCTAGTTTCTGCCAATATTAGGAGAAAAATAAAGCTATATCTAATGTAGAAATTTATTACACTTACAAAATTTTGCAAGCCAGTACAGACAACACATCTACTTGTCAACAAGTATTCCTTTTGAAATTAACAATACAAATATCAATATTAACCGTTTTGCCCACGATTCAGTTAAAAGGAAACATGTAAAGCAGCTCTTGTGCTAAGACAGATTACTTTTTATTTTATAAAGGAAATGCTTCTATTATTGGACACCCTCCTTTGTTACACTGAATGGGGTTTCAACTGGTATGGCTCCAGAATCTACAATCTTGACCTCTTGAATAGGCTTATCACCTCTAGTTTCAACTGCTTCAATAGCCTTAACCACATCCTGTTTTGGGAAAGAAAAAAATAGTTAATAATAATTCAAGGTACCTCGTAACTGCTGCTGCTTTTCTTAATTGTGTATGATTAGATGGGACTAGCAGGCACAAGAGCAGACACCTGTAAAATTGAAGTTATGCGAGAAGCCAAAAACTACCCTTTTCCCTGAAGAGAAGGCTACACATGCCTGCTCTTGTAACCACTAACCATGCTAGTTAATACTGACAAGCCTTACAGGTTTAATAATGTCCTACTATTAAAGAGTTACAAACAGCTTTTTAAATGCTGCAAGATTTTCTGATGCCTATATAAAAAAAAATAAATTTGAAGAACTAAGACACATTAAAACTTAAAACCTAAGCCACACTTTTGCTAGACTTGAAATCAGTTTTGAATAGGCAGTTTATGATAACATACTATCATGATGAGTCTGAGATGTAGATGTAGCGTATAATATGCGCTTTAATTTGTAACAATTTTAATCATGTCCAAGTCAATCATATGGTAGACATACAGGTATTGGTATTCATATTGCTTAGAACAGGACTAGATCTAGCAATGCTGTTGCCTCTGCACTTTGCACATTTAAGCTCACCTTTACCAAAAATAGTGCTTGGACTAGTTCCATGTTTGACAGTACACTGTCAGGAAGGTCTACAAGCTTTATCTTGCAGATGGTAGTCTTACCTGCCTTTGCAAGAGAAGTGCAAAGGCCACAGCACTGCTGGACTTATGCAAGAGCATTGATTACATGAAGATCATAGAAAATGCACTTACCATGCCAGCTAGCACTTTGCCAAATACAACGTGCCTTCCATCCAGCCATGGTGTCTTGACAGTAGTAATGAAGAACTGAGATCCATTGGTGTCCTTTCCAGCATTTGCCATGGAAAGCCATCCAGCTCCATAGTGCTTCAGCTTGAAGTTCTCGTCAGCAAACCTCTCTCCATAAATGCTGGCACCTAGTAAAAGGAAGTAACCACAGCATTATAGTTCTACTAATACTATATATATACAAGTAACATCTTCTGGAAAATCACATGAAATGTTAAGGCAGCCACCAAATACTACACACCTCCAGTTCCATCTCCTTTGGTAAAGTCGCCACCCTGGATCATGAATTCTGGGATCACACGATGGAAGATTGAGCCCTTGTAACCAGAACCTTCAGGCTTGGTTGCCAATTCCTTGAAGTTCCTTGCTGTAATGGGGACGGTCTTCCCAAACAGGCCGATTTCAATACGTCCTTTCTTCACCCCACCGATGGTGATGTCAAAGTAGACCTTTGGCGCAAGATAAAGAGTTGATTAGTCATATTTTACATGCATTTAATCTTTTTATTTATTATTATTTATTATATATATATAATATATATATATATATATATTATAATATATATATATATATATATATATATATATATATTTTTTTTTTTTTTTTTTTTTTTTAAGGTGGGGAATGAGCCCTCACAAGCCAAAAATCTGTTCCAGAAGGCCCCCTTTCAAAAGCTATGCAAAACCCATTAAGTGAAGCCTTTTCCTTTAGGTATAAATATAGTCAATCTGTAACCATCCTTATTGCACCCAAGATTACCAAATCAGTAATTCTTTACAGTATGGACAAACTCACTGAAGACCAAGTCCCAAACTCCACCCCCAAAAAAGTATTCTACATTGCTATGACTGGGCATGGCTGAGGGGAAAACATTATCTTCACTTCAGGATGCACGGCAAGATGGAGCCGAAACTCAGGAGCATCAAGTGGACTTAGGCCGAGAGCTGTGATTTCTGCAATCTTTTTCCTTTATTTGTGGCATTCCCATTCATGTCTGCAGATTATTTCTTGTCCCAACTACTCTTAACTGTCTTCTACAAGATCATATTCAGTTTGCTCTAACTTAGATTTGGTGGTTAATCTTTAGGGTATGGCTGTACTATCAAAATGAAATTCAAGCAAAGAAACAAAGAAATAATAAATAAATAAAATAAATGCAAAGGAGTATTGAAGTTCCAAGGAACTCACTCTTGCCTAAAGACCTTGGTTACCTTGCAGGTGAAAGTGGGTAAGGTGTCAGGACCGAAACTCACTTCCTCATTACACAATATCTTAATACACATTTATTCACTTCTAATTTGTTTTTATATAGTTCATTTTGTCAAAAGCTCAACTGCTTCATTTCTTATCTTAAAATTTCATGTACCTAAGCATAATTAATAATTTCTTTTTTGGCAACCACTTCAGCTTTCCAGATTTTTCAAGATCCTTAAAAAAGGCCACTTATTCTAGCTTCATACTGTAGAACCAAGCAAAAAATTGTAGCTGGTTAATCCTATTTTTTAAAACATGTAAAAAGTCATCTATATTATGCTGAAAACTAGCATCAAATACCAATGAGAATACACAAGACGCATTGAAGCAAACGTCTTTAAAATGGCCATATATTTCTGTATAACTCCGACCTCTTGACTGAAAATAGGATGCATTGTGTGATAATGTGTTACATCCAAAGTTCTTACAATATGTAAGCTTTTACACTTCATCTCAGCTCTAAAGGTGGACGAAGCCTCGAGAGATCAAAAGGTTATCCAGT